GGTATGTAACTTCATTGTTAGTGCAAAAGGTGGGAACGCTCGAATCAATGCCCATTGTTTCAAAATTACGATCATTGGATCAACCACCATCACATAATTCAGTGTTGAAAAAATTCCTACCGTTAGCTTTGACTTTATGGAGTTTAAAGTAATTCGGAATGACAACAAAGATGATTGGTTAATAGGTAAAATTTAACTTTTAGTCTCTTATTTATTTTCACTCGGTTATAGTAATATCAATCAATTGACTGTTTTTTAGATGTAATTGGGCATGTTGTCGAAACAAATCCAATAACGAAGATAGCATCAACGGAAGGACCAATAAACTACTTGATGTAGTTCTTTAAAATTTGGAGTAAGAATGGTTGTGGTTTTGATAATCGTTATAATTACTACCGTTTTTATCTAAACGCAAATTTTCTGATTAACTTTATCATTCGTCTTTTAATTATACGTTGATTTTTTATTTACGTGGGCATTGGCAACATAATTAATTGTTCTTTGTAGAACTCATATGCTGATAAATTGGATGAGTTCTTGGTCAATCACGACTCACAAAGTTCGATTATCCTTATATTGCAACTTTCCAAAATAAAAAGTTTTAAATGTAGATATCGTTTTTTGGTCCAACGTAGTTTTCGTGTTTACGTCTTACATATTTTCATAATAAATATGTCAATATAATATATATTAAATTATATTACAGGTAAAAAGAATATATCTTCTCACTATCACGGATCAAATTTGCTCATAAATCTAAACTTGAAGGAGGCACTTAATTTAGGGATAGGTAGTCAGCGTGTCCTTTCTTTTTCACCAAGTGTATTTAATATGTGATTAGTTTAATATCATAATTTATATAGTTTTCATCTTCAACATACATACAGACTTTTACAAGGAGATGAATCTTTCACTCAAATAGTATCTCAAATTTCAAGTGAACACTTGTCCGCGAATGACGGATTTATTTCCCTTCACAAAATGAGTATTGCCGAGTTGGTAGATGCATGCGTTGGATGTAAGTTGTTTGATATATGCATACATTATATTTGTTCAACGATTCATATAACATATGGACACAAAATTAATGTATATTATTATTTTAGGATTGTACCGTGGTTTTGATAGTCACAATCATCGAAATTGATTTGGAAAATAAATGGTGGTATGCTTCATGCAAATGGTGTATTGTTTTCCGTAAATTTGTTTCGTATTTGTTCTTTCAATAATTTTTTTTTTGTGTTATTTGAACTCATATATGATGCTATTGGGAATTGTTAATCTGCAGTAATTCTTGAGTATCGGTGAAGTGCAGACATTTTCTGAGCGATTAAAGTGCGAATTTTAAGTGTTTTTTTTATATGAACCTTTTTAGTGTAAAGCATCAAATATGCATTCTATTATTGACAATTAGTAATTAATTACTCCAATTTAATAAATGTTTTGTTGTTGTGTGATTTCATTGAAATATGTAACCCCGTGCAACGCACGGGTTCAGTTACTAGTTGTCAAAAAGCTTAACAAAAGATCTGCAAAATCACTTTCTCGGTAAGAAGTATAGGGGATGTGAGTTTTTATTTCCAAAATGTATTTCCAGTTTTATATTATTCATAAAACCGAGATCATGTTTGTTTGATAATTTTATCCAGAAAAGCTCATTTTTTCTTATCAAATTTCTATTGAAAATACACTATTCATATTTTTTTCAATTTTCAAACATAATAAAACCTACTAACAAACCTATATATTTTATTTCACCAACTCATTTCTCTCTCCTTCTATTCATCACTCCTCATTAATATTTACACACTCCATCTTCTCTCATTTCTCTCTCTTCATTAATATATACACTCTCTCTCCTCCCAATTTTTCTCTCTAATAATAATAATAATAATAATAATAATAATAATAATAATAATAATAATAATAATAATAATAATAATAATAATAATAATAATAATAATAATAAATAATATTATTATTATATTATTATTATTATTATTATTATTATTATTATTATTATTATTATTATTATTATTATTATTATTATTATTATTATTATTATTATTATTATTATTATTATTATTATTAATAATAATAACAAAATTATTATTATTATTATTATTATTATTGAACGAAAAAAATTAAATTTTTAGGCCGAATTTGTTTGACTATTTGTTTTCTAACCAATTTCCAAACCTTTCATCTCCTCAAAATTAAATAGACATAGTTTCTCCCATTGAAGAAAACATTAGTGTGTCGGAATACCATAAACCCTTTCCTATTTTCCTTGTAATGTCTTGACTTGTCATTAACTAGTACTTAACTAGTTTCGATGTAACATAATAACAGTTCCTTTTTAAATATATTTTTGTTTCATATTATCTAGGGCTGGGACTGGGTTGGGTCGGTCGATTACCAGCCTTAAAACCGACCCATCCGTCAAACTATTTTTGCTCAAATTTAAAAACCGTTACCGACCCAATTACCTTTTTGGGTCGGTTGATGGTTGGCAACCGCCGAATATTTGGTTCCGGAATGGGTCGGTTGATGGTTTATACCCGCCACCTAGTTCATTTAAAAAAAATCAAATTTTGGAGTAAAAATATCCAAATTTTACGTAATGCCACAGTGCGATCATCATTTATCAGTTCAAAACAATTAATAACAATTTAACGAAAAAATATAATTAAGAAATTCAAAGTAATTTCAAACATGCACAAGAGATTTAGTGAAGTTTTGTGGGCTTTTTGTTTAAGCTTGGACATAAAGAAATTGGTTGAAGATTTAGGTCAATTTTTTTTCCTTTGTTGATTGTTTTAAAATTTAGAAGACTAATTATTTTGATAATTTCAATAACCACTTAAAAAAACACGGCCTTTATTTTATATTTTTAATAAAAATTTAATAGTATAGTTGGATAACCGATAATTATCGGTCAACCAACTTTTGATAATATTAGAAACCACCAACCGACCCATTATCGATGGGTTGGTTGAAATTTTCGACCCGATCCAATGGGTCGCTTAAAAATTGATTATCCGCCTAAAAATATGATCGGTAATGGGTCGGTTGGTGGATAAAAAATTAAAAACCAACCCAGTCCCAGCCCTAATATTATCTGTCATTTTAGATTTTCAATACCACTTAATTACATTTTTTACCATTTTAACCTTATAATTCCACTCTAACTATTAACTCTCTCTTATACAATATTATGATCAAAGTTATTTAAGTCTCTTGAACTTATTTTTCTTAAAATCAAGACAAATTTATTGACATTCTAGTACTTATACAAATCAGGAAGACGAAAGTTAATTAAAAATGGATTAAGTATTAATTAATAGAAAAAAATATAAAAAGGGTTATGCCAACATTTTCCATTGACTACTAATGTGCATTAACATATTCTTGTATACAAACACTAGTAAAAAATAAATTTTATTAAGATCATTAATCGTAGCAAAAGGCATCAATTTTGTAGTAAAAAGGTTTTTGCTACGCATTTGCTACCAATTTGTCCCATAGCATATACGGGCATGACAAAAACTTGTTACAGTAAATGGCCATAGCGAATCCTTTTTATTAAGGTAAATCCTAGCAATGACTACAAGATTGTTCTGTAGTAAAAGGTAAAAACCATTTTCTATTAGTTATACTTTACAAAGTTCTCATGGAAATTTCAGTAGCCGTTCTTTTGCATCTATATAATATATAAAAGTTGAATTCCACACATAATTGATTGACATTTGGCAATTTCAATTGGTGACATGTCCTCAATTTCATCCAAGTGGCGAATTGATTAGTAGAAATAAATCATCAAAAAACATGTCATCATTTTCCAAAATTAAAGGTAATTAAATATATTTAATTATTTTATTAATATATTTATATCCTACCATTTATAAAATGTTTTAAATATATCAACTTTCTTGGAAACTCAAAAAAAAATTATTTTTTAATTTTATTTTATAATTAACTTAATTTGAATTTAGTTAAATTCAATTTAAAATCTCCCCATATTATAATTGCATGATTGGTGGTGTTACGGAAATTTTGTATTTTAATTCATAAACTTGGATTTATATTAAAACATATTGCAGAATAAATTATTTGATATTATACATTTTACATTAACATGACCAGAGAATATGTTTTTTTTACTAATTTAATATTATATCTAAAAAAGAAAGAAACATGTTCGAATTTACTATATTACGAAAATTGACACTATTTTTGTTTATGCCATGTATAGAGTAATGTACTTCCAATTATTTACCATATTCAAAATTATACTACATGAATTTCATGTTATTATTTAAACAGTTATTTTTTCTTCACTGAATCCAGTGACAATAAATTTTACAATTGATTTAACTTTTTTAAATTGTATACTAATTAAAATACAAATTTTATCATGATTATACTAATAAATTGAATAACATAAGTTAAGTTTAATTAATTGATAAAAAAAATTATTTTGTATATTTCAAAATATAACAATGTTATTCTAATTTTTTGGTATTAAATTAGTTTATTGACTTTATTTAATACCAAACATTAAGAATATCAATTGTTTTGTTCAAAATGTATAATGTTCGTATATACTAAGTGAATATTATCCTGACAGTAGAAGAGAAGGTATATTTGAGCTCTGATAGTGTGTGCAAAGACGACGCAACTTCTGAAGCAGGCGTCGAAATTTATTCCACTGAATTTCTCAACAACATATCGTGCTCCGGACTTCCTGCCCACGGGCTGAAATTCAAGAGGGGCGTTCCCGTTATGCTCATCAGGAATATTGACCAAGCTAGAAGATTGTGCAACGGGACGAGGCTTCAAGTCCAACAAATGGGGGCTCATGTTATTAATTGCAAGATTCTGACTTGTAAGAATGCTAGAGATATGGTCTTCATTCCTCGAATGACTTTAATCCCGTCGAATTTTTCTCTGCCTATTAAGTTCCAGAGGCGAAGTTTCCCGTGGTTGTATCGTTTGCCATGACGATCAACAAAAGTCAAGGTCAAACACTCTCACATGTTGGTTTGTACCTACCTAGACCCGTGTTCAGTCATGGTCAGTTGTACGTGGCTCTCTCAAGGGTTAAAAGTAGGAATGGCATCAAGATATTGATCAAGTCTGAATCTGGTGAACTGTGCAACATTACTAACAATGTTGTTTACAAGGAGGTCTTCCAACGTATTTGAAGGTACCTACTAACTATTTTCAATATTAGTAAATCAACTTACATGTACTTTGTTGTTTATTTACAAAACTTTCATCTAATGCACGTCCAAGTTTATCATATGTGTTATGATTCCTATTGTGTTCAAAATATCGTTATGCGGAGGTAGTGGTATATAACTCTTATTAACATATCATTTTTGTTTTTGTTTTTTTTTTAAGTTGTACTAATTTTAGAGTTTTATGTACAATGCTGATTGGCCTTGCTGGTGAATAAAATTTTACAGGTTATTTAAAATATATTGCTCCAGTTCAACATTGTCGTTCGCATTGTCGAGTTATTGATTTTGATGCAGAGTCACATGGTGCAGTAGATTGCTTCCGTAAATTAGTTTATTAAACTTTTTTTTATTATGTCATTCATTGTTGAGTAAACTTAAGTTTTAAGCTTAGCGTTTTGATTTACTACGGTTCAGTTTTATTTCGAATGTTATTACGTTAAATTTGAGGTGAACTCTTTTTTTTTTTTTTTTTTTTTTTTTCTTTTTTCCTTTCCGTTTCTCAATGCTTCAATTTTTTTTATTGTTGTTATGTAGATGACATATAGATGTTTTATTCACTTTTATGGCTGACAACCGTGCAACGCACGAGTGAAAAAATTCAAAATACTCAATTTTTTAACGAATATTAGGATAAGGATTATGATTAATATTAGTATTAGAATTACAATTATGATTATGATTAGTACTACAATTATTGACATGTATTAGTATTAGGATTATGATTAACATTATGATTAGGATTATAATTAGAATTAAGATTAGAATTATAATTAGCTTTAACATTAGCATTAGCATTCGCATTAGCATTATTAGTATTAAAATTATTAAGGTTAGGAATAGACTTATGATTAGTGTTATGAATATGATTAGGATTAGAATCATGATTAGTGTTATGAATAGTATTAGGAATATGATACGGATTTGGATAATATTAGGATTACAATTATAATTAGCATTCCCATATCCAGATTAGCATTAACATAAAAATTAGTATTATCATTAGTATATGTAAATTAACATTAATATTAACATATTAGTATTAGTATTAGAATTAATATTTGTATTTGTATTAGTATTAATATTAATATTAGTATAAGTATTAGCATTAGCATTAGTATTAGCATTATTACTATTAGTATTAGTATTAGTATTAGTATTAGCATTAGTATTACTATTAGTATTAGTATTAGTATTAGTATTAGTATTAGTATTAGTATTAGTATTAGTATTAGTATTAGTATTAGTATTAGTATTAGTATTAGTATTAGTATTAGTATTAGTATTAGTATTAGTATTAGTATTAGTATTAGTATTAGTATTAGTGTTATATTAGTATTAGTATTAGCATTAGCATTAGTATTAGAATTACTATTAGTATTAATATTAGTATTAGTATTAGTATTATTATTAGTAATTAGTATTAGTAATTAGTATTAGTATTAGTATTAGTATCAGTATAAATATCAATATTAGTATCAGTATTAGTACGAATATCAGTATCAATATTAGTATCACTATTAGTATTAGTATTTGTATTAGTCAGTGTTCTAAAAATCAGCCGAGGCGGCCTTTTAATCGGTCGCCGAGGCGGAGGCGGTCCAAAACCTTTACGATTTTAGTGTAAAGGTTTCAAAAATCGGCTTTTAGCCTGTGAGGCGGTTTGAGGCGGTCCGAGGCGGTCAAACCTTTGAGACGGGTCAAACTTTGGTGGCAAAAATCGGTCAAAAATCGATTTTTTCATTTTAATTTTTTTTTTTATAAATCAAAATAAAAGTTGGGATTTTAATAAAAATAAACATGATTTTATGCTTTATTTTGTTTTTTTTAATTATTATTGTTAAAGAACTAATGATGTATGCCAAGAATGTATATAATCAAAAAAGTTGTCTTTTTATTTATATTTTATAAGGATATTTATGTATTATGATCTTATTATTATTAAACTTTTATTATATTATTAGAATATATATATGATGGAGATATAACTATGTTTAAATATTTTTTTATCTATGTTTTGAGTATTTATAAATAATATCTACTAATATATTATATTAAATTTTAAAAACCGATTTATTTCCGATTTATCACCGATTAATCACTGTCGCACCGATTAATCGTGAGTCAGTCCCTGACCGCCTCTGACCCGATTACCGCTTTTTACAACCTTGGTATTAGTATTAGCATTAGTATTAATATTAGTATTAGTATCAATATTAACATTAGTATTGATATTAATATTGATATTAGTATTAGTATTAGTATTAGTATTAGTATTAGTATTAGTATTAGTATTACTATTTGTAGGATTACGATTAGTAATAGTATTAGCATTTGTAGGATTGCGAATAGTAATAGTATTAGTATTAGTATTAATATCGATATTAGTGTCAGTATTTGTATTAGTATTAGTATCGATATTAGTATCAATATTGGTATCAGTATTGGTATCCGTATTGGTATCGGTATTGATATCAGTATTGGTATCAATAATGGTGTATACATCTTATATCTTTTGCAATATTTATAAGTTGTATTGTTGTTTGAGTAATGTACATCACTAACTGAACGCCGTTAGTGATAAACTTGCAGGTTATTTGAATATCTATTGTGTTACTTCTCTGCTACCGTATTTTTTGTTAAGTTAGTTATTTTGCAGAAGATTGACATGGTGTAGTAGTTTGCATTCCACGAAATAGAATTATACCATATGTTTAAAATGATTTCACTTAATCTTCATATCGTGTTTTGCGCACTTCGCGTTTTTTCTTTGTAATATTTAATTGAATTTCATATGTTACAACTCTGAATTAAGAGAGAAAGTTTATGTCTTTTTCTTCCTTCCATTTTGTTTTACTTGAATTCATGACGTTATAAAGAGATAATCGTTTCCATATTATTATTTTTTTTTCATTTCAAAACTGACCCCGTGCAACGCACGGGTGAAGTACTAGTTTTTAGAAAAGTAGGTTTAATATTTAACAATGTCACTTAATTAAAAAATGAACATCCTTCTTTTTTGTCTTGCAAATAAGGAAACTCTTTCATATATATACCTAAATTATCCATAACTCCTTGAAACCCCAATTCAATTCTAATTTCATGATTTTAACTATAATTTAGTCTCAATTTCACTAATTAAACGATTTTAACCCATAATCCAATTTTGACCCCACCGCGAGTCAGCTGCTATTAACCGCCGGTCAGCCGTTGTTGACTGCCGGTCTCCAGCGTTGATTTTTCTTTTTTAAACATTTGTTTTTAAACTATTTTCAATAATATTATTGTGTTAATATTAATATTATTGTCTCAATTTGCAATATTACTGTCTCAATACAATATTACTGTCTCACACAATAATTGCAATATATAAGATAGTAATATTACTGTCTCATACAGTAATTGTTGTCTAAGACAGTAATATTATTATCTCAGTGAATATTATTGTTTTTTTTGTCGAAGACAGTAAAATTCCTTTGTTGGTTGTTAAAAAAAAAATCAACGCCAAAGACCGGTGGTCAACGGCAATGACTGGTTGGAAAAAAAATGTTCAGAATTTTTTTTTTTTCTAAAAATAGCGGTGAATATGATATATTTGTTAAATCTGGTCAATGTGCAATATTGATGAAGTTAGAGTTTAATGGATGAAAGTGATTTAAATTATATCATGAGAGATATTTTAGGAAAAAATATGGGGATCAATTTATTTGTAGAACTGTTTTTGGTCTGGACATATGTACATGTCCTCTTGTTGGACAATTCGCCAATTTTTAATAATGCATCAAATTTTCCCGCAAGAGATGACTTAGTGGTTGGAACAAGTGAGAATGTGGCAATTGACCTAAGTCCGAATCCACTTGCCAACGGTTGATAGGTGAAGTCTGTCACACATAGTTAGTCCAGTGTAGTTTACATCTCTCATATGGTTTGCAAGCTATTATACAATATTGTATATTTATTCAGTGCATCTATATGATTGGCTGGGTTCCTTCATTACCAAGAAAAATGTATGCATCAAATTTCAAGAAACCAACAACAATTTGTTGCCGTATTAAGTCACTCAAGTTCCCGCTAAAGAGTTATGTTTATATGGGAAAGTGCAACATTATTAAGTCATTCAAATTCAATGATCTATTCAACTTCACCAATCGTGATATTATTGAAAGAAAAAACAAAAGGAAAACTATTAAAATGTTTGTTCATTTGAGATTAAAATAATCTAAGCTACATAACTTTGCGTCCGTTGGTCTTCTAATAATTAAAATGTGAAAAGGCAGCTTCTCTTAATTATAATTTATAACGTACTCTTTTGGCCTTATAAAATTACATTTATAATATTTCTTCAATTCTACAGCAATCAGAGATCACACAATGTCTGAAGCTAAAGATCATATTAAGTTCTGTTTCAAAGTTATGATAAACAAACAGAAAACAAAAGTTCTATTTGCAGAAGCCGATGTCGATTTCATCGACATCTTGGTTACCTTCCTTACATTGCCAATGGCGATGATTGTAATTATCCTAAAGCGGCTCGAGCCACCTAATGCTATTGGAAGCTTAACCACTTTGTACGATGGCTTAGCAAATCTCGACAGCATCAATTTCTGGAAAGAGGGTTGTAAGGAGATGCTTCTCAATCCGAAAAACGTCGAACAAAGTCATAAGCCCGTCGAACGTTTCTTTTGTGAGAACGAGGATTGTAGTTGGAAGTATGTCAGATTATTACACATTAACATGTACTATGATATTGTTACATGCATTTGTGGTGAAATAATGAAAAGATCAGAAGACGAAGAAGAAGAAGATGAAGTGGATTCTCAAGTAGCTGATGATGGAGTTTTTACCAAAAGTACATCGTCTTTCATAATCTCCGATGATCTTCAGATATTTCCCAATACGACAGGTTTTACTCGAACACTCACAAATCTTGGCATTACCGATTTAGATTTTGGTGAGCAAAGGCATGTAACTTTTGGGTTTAGTGAGGTCAGTCTTCTTGATTATTAACAATCTTTCCTAAATATATTTGGTACTATATTCCCTTATTTAAGTTCCTTTTTTTTTTGTTTAATGTTTTTAATTTTTAGATTATGGATTTGCTGAAAAGATGCTTAGTCTCGCGGACTCCATTGTCCGATATCATACTAAATAAAGGACAGGTAAACGACTTTGCCGGACTAAAATTTGAACCAGGGATTTTGTTTCATGAGATGGAGAAAGAAGCATCTTCCAATTCAAAGAAGATGATTTCGAGAGTCCATATACAAAAATCCACGAATAAAGTATTATTTGCTCAAGCAGAGGAAGATTTTGTTGATTTGCTTTGTAGTTTTCTGACCATCAACCTAGGAGGAATCGAATGCCTTTTGGGTAGTAACACTTGTCTTAAGAGTATAGACAATCTATACACGAGCATAGCGGATATTATTGATGACAAGAATTTGGTGTCTGCACATATAAGGAATAGACTACTGATGAAGCCGAAACATTTACCTGATGATTATATTTCGAAAACCCCATTTCTTCCTATTAGTGAAAAACGTAGTTTTTCTTCCGACTACTATATTCGAAGATGGGGTACTGTTATTTTTTCTTCGTTGAAGTACCTCAAATGCAAGGGAAAATATATTAGGGGACCAACAATGTATAAGGTAACCGATGATTTAACGGTGACACCGTTTTGTATGCTTTCAACCCTTTCGTTTTTCGAAGAGCATAAAATATCTTTGTCTGATGTCAAGGAATTGGAGTTGGAGATCCGATTGGAAGAGGTAATATATAATTTGAATTTTTATTCTCATATTTGCTTAGATATATAGATTGAGATTGATATTCTTGATGCAGGCTTTAAGCATATTGAAGGCCTCTCTTACATCTACTTCTGCTCTAAACCGATGGCCTGATGAAGAATCCAATGTTAAAGAAATGAACAACCGAAGCAAGAGTAGCACTACGGTCAACTTTCATTTTCGTGCTTCTATCCAATATATATATATATATATATATATATATATATATATATATATATACACGCGCTTAATGTTCCTTGCTTGAAAATAGGGCTGGCAATTTTTCAATTTGGACCGGATCCAATCTGAATCCATGTGGATCGGATCCAAAAGAAACCAAATCCAAAATCAACTTATATAAATGGGTTTAATGTGGATCAAATTAAAACCGATCCGGATTAGATCCACATGGATTCATTGTATTTTTATCTCAACTTATGAAATTGAATATCTCAACTTTTAGGGATGTGTATCAACCCATACCTCAACTTTCACACTTACACATTTATTCGCACACACAGACGCACACACTTACACATATTCACACACACACTAACATATATTCGCACACAGAGACGCACACACTTAAACATATTCCCACACACACACACTAATACATTGTGCACACACAGACACACACCCATATTCACACACACACACACACACACACACTAACACATATTTGCACACACAGACACACTCACACACACACACACATACTTACACATATTCAAACGCACACACACGCACACATATTTACACATATTCACAAACACACACACACATACACATTTCACACGCACTAACATTTGCTATAAAATGACACTAACATATATTTGCACACACAGACACACAGACATACACACTTACACATATTCACAAACACACACACACATACACATTTCACACGCACTAACATTTGCTATAAAATGACACTAACATATATTTGCACACAGACACACAGACATACACACTTACACATATTCACAAACACACACACACATACACATTTCACACGCACTAACATTTGCTATAAAATGACACTAACATATATTTGCACACACAGACACACACACTTACACATATTCACACACACACACACTAACGCACACACGCACACACACACACACACTTACACATATTCACACACACACACACTAACGCACACACGCACACACACACACACACTTACACATATTCACACACACACACACACACACACATATTTCATACACACACTAACACATATTTTCACACACACACACTAACACATATTTGCACACACACACACATACTTACACATATTCACACACACACACATTTCACACAGACACACACTAACATTTGTTATAAAATGATTTTGATTATTATTCATAATTAAAATAAAATAAAAATAAAATAATGTTTGACTTTTGTTTTGAGAAAATTGTTTTAGTATTTAATTGAGTTTTGATTGGATCTAATATGACCCACTTCATTTTTACTTGAACTTTCAATGGATCTAAAGTGGATCCGCATGGTTTCCAGTTTTTTAAAAAATTCAACTTGGTTCGATCAGGTTTATTCCAACTAGATTTAATCTAAATTGGATCCATGTGGACCGAACCGGATCTGATCGGATCCATAGAACCGGATCCAAATTGCCACCCCTACTTGAAAACTTGAATGTTGTAAGGATTAAGATTTGTTGACAATTTTCAATTGCTTAAATCTGCATTCCTTAACAATTTAGGAAGTTTAATCCTCCAATAATTCATAATTACAAGCAAGCTAGTACAATTAAACACAACCGTTACAAGCAACCTCTCTATCTTCTCATAAGCTACCCATGGCGACGGCGCCTGGGATCCAGAACAAAGTTGCGAAGCCATCGATCTCCTACACCCTTATGGCGACGCTCAAGCAAGCCCATGACCACCGGCTATGCGCCTGCCCGTAGCAACAACATCCTCTTCTCGCCATGAGATTTGATCTATTATTGTTGTCCAAGAAGGAGATCAGTCTCCATGGGGAAATGAGACGGTGTGGTGACGATGTGCCCGACGAAGGGAGTAGATCTAGAATTTTTTGGGTCGAGCGTACAGAGATTGGTGACGAGACTTTGAGCAGATTTAAATTGGATCCATAATCAACTATGTATTAGAAGTCGATTACGGTATTAATCAATTATAATTTTTAATTCGTTTTTGGATTTTGTTTTATTGATTCCTTTTTTGCTTTTGCCACAGGTAGCTTGGTTCGGGGACATGGTGGTGATGTGTTTTTTTTTTTTTTCTTTCTTTTTTTTCTCTGCCACTATCAACTCATCCTTTAATTTGTATAAATCAACTACGATCTTGTATTTTTTTTTTTTAAATAGATGATTTTCGTATTTTTGTAGTTTATTTTGTTATTTTTTGCGGTTATTTGTTTTGGACTCTGATGTTGAATCGTATTGGGTGTCATAGGCATTACGGATGTTTTTTACTTGGGTAAAAATGACAAATAGGCCCATGACCAGGGCACTTAATTAAAATAGGAACATCCAATTTTTTTATCTTTCAAATAAATCCAGCCCATTCAAACTTATTTGCAAATAAGGAAAATCCCTTTATATATACCAAAATTACCCCTAATTCATTGAAACCCAATTCAACTCCAATTTCATGATTTACACCCCAATTTAACCCAATTTCATCAATTAACCAATTTTAACCATAATTTCAATTTTGACCCCAATTTTGACCCGCCACCACTAGAGACCGCCGGTCTCCGGCGTTGAATTTTTCTTTGATTTTTTTTTTTTTTTTGAAAATCTTTTTTTTTTTCCTGAAATTTTTGACCGGTCAACTGCCGTAGACCGCCGAGTCTCCGACGTTGACTTTTTTATTTTTTTTTTATAATTTTTTTTTTCATAAAAAAAATATTTTAATTAATATTACTGTCTTGGCTGCTAAATTACTGTCTCCGGTAGTTATTTAACTGTCGGAAACAGTAATTTAACTGTTAATTAACTTTTTTTTTTCTTCAAAAAAATTTTAATTAATATTACTGTATTCGTTGCTAAATTACTGTCTCCAGCAGTTATTTAAGTGTCGGAGACAGTAATTTAACTGTTAATTGATTTTTTTATTCTTAAAAACAATATTTTATTTAATATTACTGTATTCGTTGCTAAATTACTGTCTCCAGCAGTTATTTAACTGTCGGAGACAGTAATTTAACTGTTAATTGACTTTTTTATTCTTAAAAAAAATATTTTTAATTAATATTACTGTATTCGTTGCTAAGTTACTGTCTCCGACAGTTAAATAACTGTCAGAGACAGTAATTTAAATGTTAATTGACTTTTTTTTTTTTTTTCTTAAAAAAAATTATTTTAATTAATATTACTGCCTTGGCTGCTAAATTACTGTCTCCAACAGTAATTTAACTGTCTCAGACAATAATATTAATGATATTACTGTTCGGGAAAATAATATTCATAATATTACTGTCGCAAACAGTAATATTACTGTCTGAGAGTAATTTAGTAGCCAAGACAGTAATATTAATTAAAATATTTTTTTTCTAAGAAAAAAAAATTCAAAAAAAAAAAAAAAAAAATCAACGCCGGAATCTGACCGGAAAAAAAACATTTCAGAAAAAAAAATATTTTCTGAAAAAAAAAAATTGGGGGGTTAATGTGATATATTTGTTTAAATCCGGGGTCAATGTGTAATATTAAAGAAGTTAGAGCATAATGGGTGGAATTGATAAGAATTATATTATGGAGGGTATTTTAGACTAAAGACATGGGGATGGGTTTAATTGAGAAACTGTTTTTTTTTTGTGAACCAAAATGCATTTAAGTCCCATGTGATGGGCCTTTTTGCCATTCGCCCTTTTTACTTTTACAATTGATTTCATTATTCAATTATAATTTAGCATGAGGGTCATTTTTTATTATTTTAAGTATATATTATATATAAATACAAAATTAATGTATATTATAAAATTGTCCCCAATCCTTTAAACTCAATTTGTAATTGCCATCCCAATTTAACTTCAATTTTGACCACAAAATTCAATTTTAACTTTTTTTCTTTTTTCAAACTTTTCTTTTTGCCGCCAGTTTCCGGCGTTATGGTCTGTTTTTTCCGCCATTGGTTTCTGGCGTTGACTTTTTCAATTTTTAATTTTTTCCCTAAACAAAATCCTTTTTTTACACCCGCGCCTAAATATTGACCGTAATTGTACTGTCATTAACATCACTTATCCTGTCGCTGACAATAATTGTATAGTCATTGACAGAACTACAACAATATTATTATTTTCTTTTGACTTTTTTGATTTTGTTTGATTTGTGGACAAGTCAACATAATTATATTACTGTTGTTGACGGTAAAATTACGGTAAACACAATAATATTATTGTCTAGCATATCAGTATTATTTTTTTGGCACTTTTTTTGTTTGATTTGTTGACCAATTAACGTAATAATATTAGTGTCTTACTATTGTAATATTACTATAAACACAATAATATTACTTTAGTTGACAGTAATATTATTGTCGTTATAGTAATATTATTGTGGATGCCAGTAAGATTACTGTCAACCACATCAATAATTATTATTTTGGATTTTTATTATGTTTGCATTTGTTGAACGATCAATATATTAATATTACTCTATACACATTAATAGTGATTTTTGTTGTGTTAATATTACTGTGCTAGAGAGTAATATAGTCTCAAATTTATATGACCAGGATTTTGGCATTGATAACACTTTATCTCACTCTCAAATTTGGAGGATTTCCGAAGGTTCCGGGGAGAATTTCGGGAGAAGTTCCGGGTAGAATTTAGTAATTGAATTATCCTTTTTGTGATCCTCGCGATTTCCTCATTCTTCTCGTCCTCATCTAAGTCTTCCAAATCGTTATCGTCGTCCTGCATAGTGTTAGATTTAAAAGCAACGGATTTTTCTGTATTTAATTTTACCTCATCTTTTGCAAGGATGGTGAGCTCATGGGATGTGACGGAACCGATAAGTTCCGCAATGCTCATATTGTTCAAGTTCTTTGCTTCTTGGATTGCGGTCACCTATGGAGTCCATTCTCAAGGCAAGGATCTCAAGATTTTTTTGACTTGTTCACGTTGAGAGTAGATCTTGCCAGTGTTGTCAATGGGTTTATGATATCCATGAAGCGAGCATACATTTGACTTATGAATTCTTCTTGCTCCATGTTGAACATTTCATATTGATGTACTAGAATATTGATCTTTTGTTCCTTTATTTGGGATGTTCCTTCATGGGTGACTTGCAACATCTCCCACATATCTTTAGCTGTGGGACATGAACAAACACGATTATATTCATTAATAGTAAGAGCACAAGAAAGAATGTTCTTAGCCTTTGAGTTCATGGACATTAAATATTTGTCCGCGGATGTGAGTTCCTTCCATTCCTTGAGCACTTTTTCGCCATTGATGTCCTTCATAGGAATGAATGGTGCTTCTAGAATAATTGTCCATAGATCGCAATGGATTGAAATTAGGAGTTCCTGCATGCGGTTCTTCCAAGTAGAATATGAAGTTCCATCAAAAGTGGTGGCCTAGTATGAGATTGTCCCTCTGCAAAAATATAATTACTGAAAGAAGCCATAGAATCGTTAGCTCTTGGGTTATTAAACCCAACAATAAAAAAATTAAGAGCACGAGGCTCTGATGCCAATTGAGAGATTAAATATACCTAAGAGGGGGTGAATTAGGCTTTTCAAAACTTTTAATATTTTTGAAGATTTAAATATCAATTAAATTATTTCTAGAAAAAATATATTTTTCTTTGATAATAAAATATTTCAAGTAATAAATATTTTGCAAACTTCCAAATTAATGTCGAATAAAGTTTTATCAATAAACAATATATGAGTGCGAAAATTTGATTACGATAAAATAAAGTGCGTAAAGTAAATGACACCAAATTTATAGTGGTTCGGAGAAATTCCCCAACTCCACTCTTCTAGGCCCTCGAACTTTTATTCCACGTGCCTCCAAGATCCTTGGATCCTCTACACGAAAAAAGATGTGCTTACAAGACTCTAACGACTTTCGCACCAACGACGTGCTTACAAGAGACTCACTCTTTCGCACTTATCAATACGTGCTTACAAGAGATTAACTCTTCCGCACTCAACAAAAGACTCACAACAAAGAAATGCTCTCTAAGAACTTTACAAAATCCCTCTCAAGATATATAATGAAACAAGTGATAAGCAAGAGGAGAATTTCGAATTTTCTAATAAATAAATGACTCTCGATAAGCTCTTTTCGAAATTGCCTTGGAATTGAATAAGCTTGAATGAATGGTCCAATATTTATATGTGAAGCTCTTCATCTCTAGAAAGCAAAGAATCAATCTTTAATTTCTTGATTGATTAGATGATGAGTGTGGTTAATCTCCAGTTGATTGAGATCAATTAAATCACTTGAATATGGTAAGCATTTGAATTTTGAAACTCAAGTGTTCTTCCTTCAAAAACGATTTTCAGCAAAACATCTTCCAGGCAACTTCAGCAACTTCCGGGCTGACTGTCTAACTTCCGGACAACTTATATATTTTTGAATCTTTGACTGAGGATTGATTTAAAATCTTTCCAAGTCTGAAAATATGATTTTCAATCAGTTTAAATAAATAAAAAAACGTTTTTCAAATAATTCAAATAATTTTGAATATTGAAACATTTTCCAAAGATAGAAAATCTTGAATTTCAAAACACCTTTTGCCTCCAAACTCTATATTAGGTTGAATAGAATAACAAAAAATCTCATGAATATTTTGTTTCAAATATCAGCTGTCCCTTTTTCAAATAAAAAAGATTTGTTTTCGAAAAAAAATTATTATTTTATAAAGGGATAATTTTTGTAAATAAAGACCAAATAAATTGGGCTTATTATTTGATCCAATAAAGAAGAATTTTGACCAAGACTAGGAAGCCGTATGGAAGACCGTTCGGATCTCGTTCTCGGGATAGTTCAAGGACACTAGGCCTCTTATGGATTATGTCACTCCGGTCTTGATTAATTTCGCCTTGATTAATTTGTCTAATAAAAACATGACTCAAATAAAGACTATTAGATCAAATCAATTGTTTGTAAATCATCACATTCGAAAGTAACCTTTCGGCTAATATAACTACTGTTAATGACAGTACAATTACGATCAAAGTTAAGCGGCGAGCGTAAAAAAAAAAAGAATAAAATTTTGAAGGAAAAAAATTAAAATAAAAATAAAAAAAGCCAACGCTTGAAAAAAAATCAACGCCTGAGACCGACGAAAAAAAAGGTATAAACAAAAAAGAAAAAGTCAAAATTGAATTTTTGTGGCCAAAATTGATTAAATTGAAGTTAAATTGGGGTTAGAATTGGGAATTGAGTGTAAAGGATTGGAGGTTATTTTGTCATATACATTAATTTTGTATATTAAAGGGATTAACTTATTGGCGAAAGAAATATAACCCCTGGACCTAGAAAAATAGGGGTCATTACAAATAAGTCCATCAATGAATGCTTATTCATAAAGAGATCCAGACAAAAAACTTCTTTACCAATAAGTCCACACATGGTCCAGATTTTTGTAAAGGACTAAAATAACCCCTCATACTTTAATATGCTCAAATTCCATCCTTAACTTTATTTAACCTCAATTTGACCCCAAATTTCACAAATTATTCAATTTTGACCCAAAACTTTTGTTTTTTCAAAAAAAAATTATTTTTCAAAAACTTTTTTTTCCCGTCGGATTCCGGCGTTGACTTTTCAATTTTTTTTATTTTTTTTTTCTTCCGGATTTTTTTGCCGGTCTCCGGCGTTGACTTTTTCAATTTTTTTTCTTCTTCTTTTCTTTCTTTCTGTAACCTTTTTTTTTCGTTTAAACAACAATATTGTTGTGATTGACAGTAATATTAACTAAATTACTGTTAAACACAGTAAAATTAAACTAAACTACAGTTTAACACAATAATATTGCTATATTAATCTCTGGGACAGTAATATTAACACAACAAAACTCATTATTATTGTGTAATAGAGTAATATTACTATGTTGTCTGTTCAACAAATGTAAACATGCATAATAAAAAACCAAAAGAATTAATATTACTGTGAGTGATAGTAATATTACTATAACAACAATAATATTACCGTCAACCACAGTAATATTACAATAATAGACAGTAATATTATTACGTTACTCCATGAATAACACAAACAAACAAAAAATCCAAACAAAATAATAATATTGATGTGGTTGACAGCAATATTACTATAACAACAGTAATATTACCGTCAACCACAATAATATTATTGTGTTTACAGTAATATTACAATAATAGACAGTAATATTATTACGTTACTCCGTGAATAACTCAAACAAAACAAAAAACCCAAAAAAATAATAATATTGATGTTGTTGACAGTATTATTGTGTTTACAGTTATATTACTGCCAACGACGGTAATATAATTACGTTGACTTGTCAACAAATCAAACAAAATAAAAAAAAACAACAAAAAATAAAAAATAATAATATTACATTAATAAACTGTCAACGGTAGCACAATTACATAAATGTATTGTCAATGGCAGTACAATTACGTTAATTAACTGTCAATGACAGCACAATTATGGTCAACGTTTAGCGGCGGACGTAAAAAAAAAAAAAAAACAAACCAAACAAAAAAAAAAAACTTAAAAAAAAACTAAAAAAAGTCAACACGGAGACCGCCGGAAACCGGCGAAAAAATCCGGAAGAAAAGAAAAGAAAAAAGAAAAAAAAGCAAAAAAAAAAAAAGTCAACGCCGGAAACCAGCGAAAAAATCCGAAAGAAAAAAAAAAAGCAAAAAAGAAAAATAAAATTTGAAATTTTTTTTTTAAAAAAAAAAGGTTTTGGGTCAAAATTGAATAATTTGTGAAATTTGGGGTCAAATTGAGATTAAATTAAGTTAATGATGAAATGTAGCATATTAAAGTATGCTAAAAAAAAAGTCAAAATTGAATTTTTGTGGTTAAAATCGGATTTTTGTGGACCAAATTGATTAATTTGGGGTTACAATTAAGAATTGGGTATAAAGGGTTGAGGGTAATATTGACATATACATGAATGTTTCCTTTATTTATAATAAATATTAAAGGGATGGGCTTATTAGTGAAAGAGATATAGCCCCTAAACCTAGAATAATAAACATGCTTGGTTGGAACTTATGCACAAAAACCCCTAAATATTAAAGGGATGAGCTTATTGGTGAAAAATATATAACCCATAAACCTAGAATAATAAAGATGCTTGATTAGAGACTTATGCACAAAATCACCACAAAAATAAAGATGGTTTGTAAGAAACTTATTCGTAAAAACCCGTTTAGTTAAATAGAAAGCTAGAGAAAGAGAAAAAAAAAAAAGTAGAGCGTGAGTGAAGAGATAAATGGTTAAAAATAAAATTTAGAAAAGTGTTGTAATATATTTTGAAAGTTGTCATCTATGAATCATTTTAACTCAAAATTTCAAATAATTGAACGCGTGTAAACAAAATAGCGTGTCTTATATAAAAAGAAAAAACCAAGTAGCGTTTTATTGGTGAAGTTAGGATAAAAGTGAGACCCAATAAGTGAGAATGATTGATTAATCACACAAAGCCGTAAAATTGGAAATGGAGAGAGAGAGAGAATAAGAGAGAGTCGTCGTGGGCAAGTCTTCCTCGTCAAAAGTTGTTGTATGAAGCATAAAGTAATTCCACCACAAACACAAACACAAACACAAACTGACTGTCGTAAAAGCATTTCTTCACAATATCCGAAAAACAATCACTCACACAACGACACACTCACCACTACTACTACTAAAGCTAGCTAAAAAATAAAATAAAATAAAAAAACTAAAGGAAAGAAAAGCATGATGCCCAACCCAATCACACAGCAGACAAAGATTTTTCAGTTCCCCACATTCTTTCCTTCCTCCCAGAGTAAAGTAGAAACAAAAGTTATACAAAGAAATTTTGAATGAATAAAGAAACATACACTTGCCCTACTTCTTCATCAAAGCATATGTATAATGTATATATAATATATATAATGAAAACATTGTCCATTTACGCTTTCCGAAGCAGCAGCAGCAGAACAAGTCTGCAAATTCGAGTAGTAGAATGGCGAGTTCGAGTGGGACGAAAGATGAAGTGGGGCCACCAAGAACGATGTCGAGGAGGATGACTAGAGCACCGACAATGGTTGACCAATCAGACGGCAGCGCAGCCGACAGTGAGCTTGTCCCCTCTTCCTTGGCTTCCATTGCCCCCATTCTCCGTGTTGCTAATGAAATTGAGAAGGACAACCCTCGCGTTGCTTATTTATGTAAGATTATCATTTATTTCATCATGCATTCATGATTCATTATTTGCTTGTCTGAAAGGGTGGCTTACGCTTAGCTTTTGAATTTGGTGGTCTTTTAATTTTCCTTATTTAGAATTGAATTTAACTGTCATGTGGCTTCTTTTCTTAGTATGCCAAGAATTACGGGTTTTGTATTTTTGATTTTTTTTTTTTTTTTTACGGGTTTCTAGATGTGAACGGCTTCAATTGACGCATTTCAGTTTGACGACGATGTTTCTTGTTGGTAATCAGAAGATTAAGAAATTTTGTTGTTTCAGTGTATCGACAGCACTATGTTGATACTAAACTGAAATAATCTTTTATCGAATCGGGATAAGGACTAAATGTTTGTTTGATTCTGTATTTTCTTTTTAAGAAAAAATAGATAACATACAAACTTAATACATCAAACATACTGTCTAACTGTAGCCCTAGTATTTGGTTGACTCTAACTACCGTCGTTTTAAGCAGTAGGACGTATTTTCGTTAATTTAAGAACTTGATATTCGTTTACACTTTGACTAGAGCAGTATTCTTCTCGTTTTTTTTTTTTTTTTTTTTTTGTTTTTTTGGAATAGGCCGCTTCCATGCATTTGAGAAAGCACACAGGATGGATCCGACATCAAATGGGCGGGGTATTCGCCAGTTTAAGACATATTTACTACACAGGCTTGAAAGAGTACGTCGATTTTAGCTCTATATTTATTTTACCATGCTATTCTTCTATATAATAAATTTCGGCATTTTGTGTTTTTTTCTCTTTGTAATGTATGTTGTGCTTAATGTTTTTTATATACGGTCATTGTGCATAGGAAGAAGAAGAAACAAAACCCATACTCGCGAAAAATGATCCTAGAGAAATCCAGAAATATTATCAGATCTTCTACGAGAAAAATATCCGAGAGGGTCAATATACCAAAAAACCGTAAGGCTCAAAGTAATTTTATTAACAGTAGCTTTCGAATATTTCAAGGAATTGTTTGTTCGACCTTATGAATTTTTTTATTATATGTCGATCTCTTTTACAGAGAGGAGATGGCTAAGATATATCAGATTGCAACTGTGTTGTACGACGTGCTGAGGACAGTTGTACCTCAATCAAAAATCGACGAGCAGGTTTCATTTATGTGTTTTGCTGCAGTATTCGTGAATTTAATTTATTATTCAATTTTTAGAATTCTGGTAAAAAAAATTATTTGAATTTTATTAATAACATAATAAATGCAGACTCAGAGATATGCGAAAGATGTCGAGGAGAAAAAGGAACAGTACGAGCATTATAACATTCTGCCGTTGTATGCTGTTGGTGTTAAACCAGCAATCATGGAACTCCCCGAGGTTATTTTATTTAATATTCTCATACATACTGCCTATTTTATCTTATCTTGTAGTTTAATTTTTTTTTATATATATATATATATATATATATATAATAATAATAATCAGATAAAAGCAGCACTTCGAGCTATACGTAATGTTGAAAATCTTCCGGTGTTTCAAATGCCTGAAGGAAAGGAGAGAACGGTCAACGATATTCTCGAATGGCTTGCTTTACGCTTTGGTTTTCAGGTACATTTCAACACTCCTTAACAGTTGAATTGTGATTATTGAGTTGGCTCAGCTAGCTGAATATGTTCATTTACCTTTTTACCCCCCATGGTGGTGCTGAAGAAAGGAAATGTAGCAAATCAGCGAGAGCACTTGATATTGCTTCTTGCTAATATGGATGTGCGGAACAAGAATCTTCAGGACTACGAGCTCGTACGTATTTTTTATTTTACTTATATTAATATTAAGATTCAGACAAATTAATTACATAATGCGTGTATAATGTGACAAGAAACGATACTGCAGTTGGATAACCACACCGTTCAGAAACTGATGGACAAAATTTTCAAGAATTATCAGTCGTGGTGTAAATACTTGCACTTCACACAAAATCTAGAGTAAGTTTGTATTTATAATATTATTTATATTCTAATTATATTTATATATAATAATATAATATATATATATATATGTATCTTCGTCGTCCTTGCCAGGTGTCCATGTGGTGATAGGAGGCAACAGTCGCAGCTTCTCTACATCGGACTTTATCTCCTCATTTGGGGTGAAGCTTCAAACATTCGATTTATGCCGGAATGCATTTGCTATATTTTTCACCGCGTATGTTTCGTTTCTATAACACGAGCACTAATTGCTTCCTTAATTGTATTATATTCTACTGATAATCGAGTTAGCATTTTTGAAAAAAAAAAAATAATGTCTTTACATTTCGAAAAACCGTAGATGGCGCATGAGATGTATGGAACTGTATTTGGTAACGTCGAACATGTGATCGGAGGTGCGTATCAAACGGCAGCACAAGGCGACGAGTCATTTCTGAGGGATGTTGTGACACCGATTTACGAGGTTTTGCGGAAGGTACTTCTTTTCACTAATGCTACTCTCGGTTATTTAATTTTTTTGTTTTTTTTGATTCCTAATAATCCGCTCATCTTTATTCTAAAAGGAAGCTCGGAGAAATAAAAGTGGGAAAGCAAGCCATTCGGAATGGAGAAACTACGACGATCTCAATGAATATTTTTGGTAACATTCTTAATAATTATATTAATTTCTGAACTTCTTTTATTAAACTTCCTTGCTTTGTTTTTTCAGGACAAAAAGGTGTTTGAAGTTGGGTTGGCCTTTGGATCGGAAAGCTGATTTTTTTGTACACTCAGATGTAATAAAGCCAGCAAACAAGGTACCCTACCATTTTTTTTTGCTCAAAGACTGCAATCAACAGAATAACCATATAGTAGAAAATATAGCTAATTTACGGCTTCGAGGATGTAACGTTGTTCTTTCTCTGTTAATGGTGATAAAATTGGGGAGTTTTTAGATGTAATTAGATGCATATATCTTATCGTAAAATGCTATTACGTTGATAGGGAAATAATCAGGCTGTAGGAAAGAGAAAGCCCAAGACAAATTTTGTTGAACTGCGTACGTTTTGGCACCTTTTTAGGAGTTTCGACAGAATGTGGATTTTTTTCATTATGGCTCTCCAGGTACTTTAATTTGCTAACATTCGTATATATATTTTCTTTATGTTATTCAATTTTCTCTTGATCTGTCCTTTGTGTGGTTTCCTTAATTATCTTTCTCTGTATCAGGCTATGATTATCATTGCATGGCATCAACGTTTAACCTCAAACGTACTTTTTGACGAGGATGTCGTTCGAAGTGTTTTGAGCATCTTTATCACAGCTGCTATTTTGAATTTTTTGCGAGGTAACTATATTATATTACCTACTCTCTCTCTCTCTCTCGTTCGTATCAGCTGCAAACAGATTAATAACATGTGTACTGTTTTGCAGCCGTCCTGGATATAGTACTCAGCTTTAATGCATGGAGGAGCTTGAAATTTACGCAGATACTCCGATATCTACTGAAATTTGCAATCGCTGCATTTTGGCTTGTAGTGATGCCAGTAACGTATTCAAGATCTATTCAGAATCCGAGTGGGATAATGAGATTCTTCAGTAATTTGGGAGCCGATTGGCAGTCACAGTCGTTGTATAACTACTGCATTGCAATTTATTTGATACCCAATATGTTAGCTGCCTTGCTTTTTCTATTCCCTTTTCTTCGGCGATCTTTGGAACGTTCCAACTGGCGTATAATCAACATGCTGATGTGGTGGTCTCAGGTATTCTTGTTATTGCTCGTTGAATGATTGAGAATATTGTCTCGTATTTTTACGAATTTACCTCATCTTCGTTGAATTACGTACAGCCCAAGTTGTATGTTGGAAGAGGAATGCATGAAGACATGTTCTCCCTTCTCAAGTAAGCCCCGTTATTTATCGTTTCTCCTCCCGTTACTTGTTTGTTTATATTGCCAATTTACCTTAGATAAGTGAGTGCACATGTTATGTTTGAACACTCGATTCTTTTGGGCTCAGGTACACGCTCTTTTGGATCACACTGTTAATAAGCAAGCTTGCATTCAGCTATTATGTTGAGGTAACTAGTCCTTATTTATTATTATTGTTTTTTTTTTGGGTAAATTATGGCCAACCCCCTGAGGTAAGGTCAAATTACAAAAAAAAAACCCTCGTGTTTCGGTAATTACAACCACCCCCATCAACTATGAATCTTCCTACACTTCCACCCTTGTGGTGTCAAATTTAGTGGAATCTTTTAGATTATGTGGAATATTCTCCAGTTCGTACCCGTTTTACCCCATTCGAGCTCCAAATTTTAAAACAAGATGATCATATCAAATTGTGGTGCATCAGAAAATGCATTTTTGCACAAAACGAGTACAAACTAGAGAACATTCCACGAAATCTAGAAGATTCTGTTGAATTTGACACCATAAGGATGGACTTTACTTCACCATATTTATCAACTATTATGTGAAGTAAAGTTGTTCTAGGAGGAGTCCTTTAACCTGTAATTATCCGCTCTCAAATATACGTTTTCGAGTCGGACTCATTTATTTCTCTTGATTAGATAATGCCGTTGATCGAGCCAACACAGACTATCATGAATCTGACAGTCAGTAGCTACGATTGGCACGAATTTTTCCCAAACGGTAACAATCTTTATTGCATTGTCCATTTACGCTTTGTGTTGCTTCCGAGGATGCAGCTAACTAATACAAACACAAACATGATGTGCAGTTACTCATAATATTGCTGTTGTTATTGCAATATGGGCGCCGGTTGTTCTGGTATGTAACGAGAAACACGACACGTTAATATTTTCTACGTAAATGTCTTGTTAAATTATATAAAAAAAGGTTTGTTTTCTAATAGGTTTATTTCACGGATACGCAAATATGGTACGCTATCTTCTCAACTGTCATTGGTGGGATCTACGGAGCATTCAGTCACCTCGGAGAGGTTCGTAATTCTTTTTCCATATGCTCCGATAAATTATTAAACCCTCTTCGTAAAAAAAATTTATCGATCTTTTTTTCCGTGCCGTTTCGATAATTGTAGATAAGAACACTTGGTATGTTAAGAGCAAGATTTGAATCCGTCCCTTCGGCTTTTAGTAAGCGTCTTGTTCCTTATTCCAAAGAGGAAGCCAAACAACATCAGCGGGTATGTCGATATTTTACGGAAATGTTTTTCGGTTAATTAAAATGTTTTTTTTTTGTCTGACCGGAAACTGGTCTTGTAGGATGACACATGGGAAAGAATAAACATTGCAAAGTTCTCTCAAATGTGGAATGAGTTCATATTATCTATGAGAAACGAGGATTTGATAAGCCATAGGTTGGTTAATTTTTCGACATACTCTAAAACTAGATTGAATAATTCATGCTTGTATACAGTAGAACCTCGATAAATTAATAACATCAATTAAATAACAGTTTCTCTCGGTCCTGACTACGTGTTAAATTATTAACTCGATAGTTTAATAATTCGCTAAATTAATAGAATTTCCCTAGTCTCGACTGTATTAATTTTGTAGAGTTTTAACTGTATAACCGTATTTACCAGGGAGAAAAATCTGCTGCTCGTGCCGTATTCGTCGAGTGATGTATCTGTTGTGCAGTGGCCTCCTTTCTTGCTTGCTAGTAAGGTAAAAATACATATATATATATGTATATAATTTGTTGCTCGTTGAACTGTCAAATGTTTCTGTTGTGGACTCATTTTAATTCTCGTAACCGACATTAATTAGATTCCGATAGCACTGGACATGGCGAAAGATTTCAAGGAGAAGGAAGATGCTGACTTTTTCAAGAAAATTAAGAACGACGATTTCATGTATTTCGCAATAATTGAATGCTACGAGACGCTTCGGGATTTGCTTCTTGACCTTCTATTAGATGATGGTGATAAAAAGTAAGGAACATTCTTATTTATCTTACAAATATATATGAAAAGTCTTTTATTTCATTCTAACCGAAGCCGTTTGTGCTTTTGCTCTGCCTTTTTTTCAGAATAATTTGGCAAATATGTGAAGAAGTTGAAAGCAGCATCCAGCGACGAAGATTCTTGCGAGATTTTAAGATGAGTGGGCTGCCATTGTTAAGTGATAAATTGGACAAATTTTTAGACCTACTTGTGAGTTGCATATTTTTTATTTTTCGACTTTTTTCGGTTCAATAAGCTATATTACTACTTGTTAGTTTTAATGATTTCGCCACCTCGATTTGTGCAGATGGCTGATTACGAGGATGCTCAGTTATACAGATCTCAGATTATCAATATGCTCCAAGATATAATAGAAATCATCATTCAAGATGTAATGAATAACGGCCACGAGTACGTCTCTCGTATTTAATTTCATTTTACCACCTTATCGTCAACGAGTTTATTTTTCAACCGTTTTGAGATCTCGATGTTCCTTTTTTCACATAGGGTTTTGGAAAAAACACATTCGTTGCATCACGACGAAAAACGAGAGCAGAAGTTCGAAAGGGTGAAGATCGATCTCTTGCAAAGCGGTTCTTGGATGGAAAAGGTTGTGAGGCTTCATTTGCTTCTGACAGTCAAAGAATCAGCAATCAACGTGCCGATGAATTTAGAAGCTCGTCGTCGGATCACATTCTTCGCAAACTCTTTATTTATGATAATGCCTAGTGCTCCAAAAGTTCGTAACATGCTGTCTTTTAGGTAAACTTTCATCTTTAAAGCTTCGTAATTTTCTTTATTACCTTTGCGTCGATTAAATCGATATTTGCTCTGTTCTACGGTTCAGTGTTTTGACACCGTACTATAAAGAACCGGTTCTTTACTCGACGGAGGAGCTGAACAAGGAAAACGAGGATGGCATTACAACCTTATTTTATCTTCAGAAAATATATCCGGGTGAGTTTTAAATTAAAATTCTTTTTTTGTATGACAACAGTAACTCTATATAACTATTTATTATGCATTGCGAAGACGAATGGAAAAATTATTTGGAGCGGATTAATGATCCGAAACACGGTTCTGACAACAAAGACCGGTCTGAATTGGACCGTCAGTGGGTTTCTTACCGTGGTCAGACACTCGCTCGGACAGGTTAGTTAACTTTCGAGCATCTTGTGTAATAATGTATGTTTTTTTTTTGGCCGTTTATTTTTACGTTTTTTTTTTTCGTGTTGAATTTCCAGTAAGAGGGATGATGTACTACCGGGAGACTTTGGAACTTCAATGCTTTTTGGATTTTGCTGATGATAATGGTATGTATATATCATGTTTTCCATCTATATCTGTAATTAATTAATTGATTAATTAACGAATTTAATGTTCGCTTGCAGCTATTTTTGGCGGATATCGAGCCATTGACATAAATCATAGGGACTACAGAATTCTCAAGGAAAAAGCACAGGCTTTAGCAGATATGAAGTTCACTTATGTTGTATCTTGTCAAGTTTACGGTGCGCAGAAAAAATCAAGTGACGCCCAAGATCGAAGCTGTTATGTCAATATTTTGAATCTTATGCTCAAGTAAGTTATTGCAACATCAAATTGTTAATTACAGTTAAATCTCTATAAATTGATACAATCGGGACCAACAAAATTCTATTAATTTAGCGTAATATTAAATTATCGAACTAATAATTTAATACGTTTTTACGAGATTATTAATTTATCGAGGTTCTACTATAGTATAATTGGTGGGTTTTCAAGGTGTAATTAGCATCTGTAATTAACTTAAGTGGCTTTTTTTGAGGGCAGTTTTAGTTATTTAAGCCTTGTCTAGATAAACCAATATATTGACATGTTTCTTCAAATTTTAAAATGAAACTTTAAGGTATCCATCTCTACGAGTTGCTTATATAGACGAGAGGGAGGAGACAATTGACGGAAAAACGGAGAAGGTTTACTACTCTGTCTTGGTAAAGGGCGGGGAGAAGTTGGATGAGGTAAGCGATGATTTGATTCATTTTGACCGTTCTTGTACTTGAGTTGACCGACCATTGCATAGATCGATAGTAACAGTTATATATATTGTGTAATAATGGCAGGAAATATATCGTATACGGCTTCCAGGTCCTCCAACAGAAATCGGCGAAGGCAAACCGGAGAATCAAAATCACGCTATCATTTTCACTCGTGGAGAAGCCTTGCAAACCATAGACATGAATCAGGTTCGTATATATATATATATTTTTTTTTCTAAAAATGTTGCGTATGTTTTTATTTTTCTACTTAGACTCGCGTTTCATAAACATGATTATCTTGTCGCAGGATAATTATTTTGAGGAAGCGTTCAAAATGCGCAATGTTTTAGAGGAACTTCTGAAAACTCATCACGGACAACGAATGCCTACAATATTGGGGCTAAGGGAGCATATTTTTACCGGAAGGTGATATTTTTATTTTTTACGTAAACGACTTGCATTATCTAAATTATGAGTGTACTTACCTCTTTCTTTTTTTTTTTTTTTTTGTTTCTCTCTTTCGTTTTGATCGCAGTGTTTCTTCACTAGCTTGGTTCATGTCCAATCAAGAAACCAGTTTCGTGACTATTGGACAAAGAATTTTGGCAAACCCCCTTAGGTAAACGTTGTCGTTTTCGATTTTTCTTTGGAATCAACGATGTTTCCAGGTTTAATATTTTAAATTTATCGAATTTATTTTTACAGGGTAAGGTTCCATTACGGACATCCCGACATTTTTGACAGAATATTTCACTTGACGAGAGGTGGCATGAGCAAAGCTTCGAAAACAATCAACTTGAGCGAAGACATATTTTCCGGTACCATCTACTTGAAAAATCTCACTTCACAATGATTATTATCTTGATTTATTTAATTTCTAAATGGGAATTACTATTATTCAGGTTACAATTCAACACTAAGACGGGGTTACGTAACACATCACGAATATATCCAAGTAGGCAAAGGAAGAGATGTTGGTATGAATCAGATTTCTCTTTTCGAGGCAAAAGTTGCAAATGGAAACGGAGAGCAGACACTTAGTCGAGATGTATATCGACTTGGACGCCAATTTGATTTCTATCGAATGCTGTCCTTTTACTTCACCACTGTTGGCTTTTACTTCAGTAGCATGGTGTGTGAAATTACGCATATGCCCTTTTCGAATTGATGAATCAGTCTTGCTAGGCTCGTCAGTACATAGTTGAGGTTCCGATCTTCTGAAATAATATCTTTTTAATTCGAGTATTCTTTTTTCAGGTCACCGTGCTGACTGTGTACGTGTTCTTATACGGAAGAGTATACATGGTCTTAAGCGGGCTTGAAAAGCGTATACTCGACGACCCGTCGATACATCAGAGTAAAGTTCTCGAAGAGGCTTTAGCCACGCAGTCTTTCTTCCAGCTAGGTCTTTTACTCGTGCTGCCCATGGTGATGGAAATCGGGCTCGAACGAGGGTTTCGAAGTGCCATAGGTGATTTTATCGTCATGCAGCTCCAGCTGGCATCCGTCTTCTTCACATTCCAGCTCGGTACAAAAGCGCATTACTACGGTCGAACCCTTTTGCACGGTGGTTCTAAGTACAGAGCCACAGGCCGTGGCTTTGTTGTATTTCACGCCAAATTCGGCGATAATTACAGAATGTACTCTCGCAGCCACTTTGTGAAAGGGCTCGAGCTTTTCATGCTGTTGATTGTTTACGAGGTGTACGGGCATTCTTACCGCAGTTCTTCTCTCTACTTTTTCATTACGTTTTCGATGTGGTTTCTCGTCGCTTCTTGGTTGTTTGCTCCTTTCGTTTTCAATCCGTCTGGATTTGAGTGGCAGAAGACCGTCGATGATTGGACTGATTGGAAGAGGTGGATGGGGAACAGGGGCGGTATCGGTATTTCACCCGATAAAAGCTGGGAGTCGTGGTGGAATGAGGAGCAGGAGCATTTGAAATACACGAATTTGAGGGGTAGAGTTCTTGAAATCGCACTTTCGATCCGCTTTTTCATCTACCAATACGGGATTGTTTATCAATTAAAGATATCGCATGGCAGCAAAAACATCCTGGTAAATAGTGTTGTAATAACATTTTGTGTCAATATTTTTTTTATTCTCTTTTTGGCTTCTCTGCATGTACTAATTTTTATCTTCATGTAGGTTTATGGCTTGTCGTGGTTTGTTATGGCAACTGTGCTTCTCGTATTAAAGGTATGTCTATACTATTACGCGACCAAAGTCGCTTGTTTAAAAAAAAAAATTCTCGTTATTACACTACCAATTCATATACTATTATCACAGTATTTGTTTTTAATACGAATTTTCGTAACCCGCAACAGATGGTGTCGATGGGAAGAAGAAAATTCGGAACGGACTTTCAGCTTATGTTCAGGATTCTAAAAGCACTTTTATTCCTCGGATTCGTGTCGGTAATGACTGTGTTATTTGTGGTTTGTGGCCTTGTTGTTAGTGATATATTTGCTGCTATATTAGCCTTCATGCCCACTGGATGGGCCCTTATTCTGGTAAGTCTAAAATTTCAATTCCCTCTTTTTTTTTTAATTTTTTTAATATTAATTTTATGGTGCGCTATTACACGTTATTTTTGATCATGAAATATTTGGGTTTTCGTTGGTTTATTATTACAATGGCGCAGATAGCTCAAGCATGCAGACCTTGTCTGAAGGGAATCGGGATTTGGGATTCAGTGAGGGAGTTGTCGAGAGCATATGAAGCGATAATGGGGCTCGTTATATTCACGCCTATTGTTGTGTTATCTTGGTTCCCTTTCGTATCGGAGTTTCAAACGAGGCTTCTCTTCAATCAAGCATTTAGTAGAGGGCTACAGATTTCCATGATTTTGGAGGGGAAAAAGGACAAGACATCCTCCACTTGAACAAATCATTTTGTACATTATATATATATATTGACTGAACAAATAGAGATTTATTAGGTACAAGAAAACACCCTACAAACATATGACATACATTCCACAAAACATCATACTGAATAGAGTATATTAAATATAGATTTATTTATTACTGTATCGATAATGATTTTCAATATTTACCAAAGTCGGTTAGTTGGGATGGGTCAGTTTACTGGCCGGTAATCAACCAATCCAACCTACGGACAACCCTAGTTGCACCATGAGGGACAACCAATATATTGACATTTTTTTTAAGGCAGATTATTTGTCACCTAATAGTTAAGTTTTTAGTAGCCTATAAGCCATAAAGTACCATTTCATCACATAAAAAGATGTTGTAATCTCATTCTAAATATTGTACAACTTTGCACTATGCGGCCTTGGAAATATAGTTTTTTGCCACTTTGTACTCTAAAAAAATTAATAGCACTTTACGCTCTCGAAACACCAATGTTTTCAGAACCGGACCGGCTATAGAATCGGACGACCATTTGTGTCATGAGTTTATAGGGTCGAACCGGTTCAACCGGGCTTTTAATTTTTTTAATATGCCATTATTTTATTAATTTTAATGTTTTAAAAATATTATTTTCTTTATATTTTTAGTCTCCCAATTATTATTTTCACTTTTATCTATTTTGCTTCATTTTTTACTATATTTTATTGTTTATATTCTATATTTTTCCATTTTTTATTTTTCAAATCCGGCAATCGGCTAACCCTATTCGATCACCCATGATCATATGAGACAATCATTCGACCACTCATGACTAGATCCGGCCACCCACTACTAATTATGTGAAGGTTCGCTCAAATCTAGCCACAAATAACCAACTCAACGGTGATTGGAGACGTTTTGGCCGAACCGGGTTCCTTGACTGACTCGTCGGTTCTCGGGGTTTACCCGGTCGAACCGGATTTTGGTCAATTGACCCCGGTTTTCAATTTTTCCGATTTTAGATGTTAGACCGGACCGCTTTATTGCAGGGTCACAGTCGACCCGGTCCGACCGGCAGGTTCGGTCCGGTTCTAACAATATTGTTAAACACAATAAACTATGCATAGTGCTCCCTGAATAAATTTTTGAAGCTAATAAAGGAAATTTAATACTTCCAAATGTATTTGTTTAGGATACCAAATGTCAATTTTTATTTTTTATATTCATCAATCGTTTCGAAACTATAAAGTGCATACATAAAAATACTGAAATAAAAATACATCTCATCAACATATTTAAATATTAAAAAAAATGCTCTACGGGAAAAAAAAACAATATAAAAAAATTCATTCAACTATTTTGTTATCAAGTTATTTGAAAATTATATTTTCCTCCAAATATTTCTACCAAATATTGTCACCATTTACAATAAAAGATCCCAATCGAATAATTTAGTGAGAATTTTTTCATTGTTTTTGTAAGAAAATACAGTATTTTCAATAATTTAGTGTGATTTTTATTTTTATTACATTATGAGGTAGGATAGAATAACAATTCAATTTGTTATTTTGCACCTTGGAAAAAAAAATAAACAATAATTTTTTTTCCCTTATGAAGTTTTAGATATACAATTTAGGGTGCATTGTGAATGATTTATTGTGTTTCGAAGTGCAAAGTATTATTATTTTTTTAAGGATGCAAAGTGCAAAAATGCTACATTTCAATAGTCCGTATTAAGTTACTTGAGTTATATATTTTTGCTTAAAGATGTAATATAAGCTTACCAAGAAACTATTAGTAATACTATGATATATCTAACAAAAAATCATAAATTGTCAAATCTAGTTTTTTACAATACCAAATGTCAATCTAAATTTGTATATTTATGAATCGTTTCGTAACTACAAAGTGCAGAAATAAAAATAATGAAATAAAATACATCTCATCAACATATTTAAAACCATATTTTTATCATAAAAAGTACTCTAAAAAAAAAGAAAAAAAGAAAAAGAATTCATTGAGCTATTTTGTTATAAAGTTATTTGAAAATTATATTTTCTTTCAAATATTTTCACCAATTACAATAAAAGTTCCATCAATCTAATAATTTAGTGACATAAGTTTATTTTATTGTTATTATAAGAAAATATTTTTTTTTCAATAATTTGGTGTGATTTTCAATTTTTCGCACTATGAGGTAGAATAAAATAATAATTTAATTTATTATTTTGCACCCTATAAATAAAAAAACCAATAAAAAATAAAATTGCCCTTGTTAAATTATAAAAATTCAACGTAGGTGTATATGGTTTATTCTATTTAGAGCGTGCAAAGTGTTATTTTTTAGTGCTTATTACAAATAAGCTCATCATGGGCTACTCATAGAGAGTACGAGACAAAAAAAACTTTTACAAAAAAGTTCAGGTGTAAAAGGCTAAAATACTCTTTCACATTAATATGCTAAAATTTCATCCATATAACACAATTTAACCTCAATTTGACCATAAATTTCACCATAAATTTCACAAATTATCAATGTTTTGAAAATCGGACCGGACATCAACCCGACCGAGTCACGGTTGGACCGGTTCAACTGGGGTCCAACTGAATTTCTTACATTTTTTTATATATATAATTATTTTATTTATTTAATACCTCAAATATAATGTGTTATATATTTTATATTTTATTCCAATTTCATTAATTTATAAAAAAAATTAAAAATTATTAATTTTCCTCTCTCTCTCTCTCCTTTCTTCTTTCTTCCTCCTCCCGTTTTCGTAGTCCATGGGCCGGTTTTGGGCCCGGCACCGGCCCGAACCGGCTCGTTGACGGCCCAAACCGGCCCGTTGACGGCCCAAACCGGCCCGTTGACCGGGTGAACCGGCTCGGACCCGTGAACCGGCCCGTCCTACCCGGGACGGGCCCGGTTCTAAGAAATGGTGAACCGTGAACCGCCGGGCCGGCCCGGCGGTTCACCCGGATTTAAAAAAAAAAAAAAAAAAATCAAAAAAATTGAAAAATAACGGCTAGTGAACCGGCCCGAATCGGCCCGGGTGAACCGGCCGTTATTTACTTTTTTTTGAATTCCCCCCCCCCCCCCCCCCCCCCCCCCCCACCCAATTTTTCCTATAAATACCCTCACACCCCAACCCAATTTCTCACCAATTCACTCACAATTCTCTATACTTCTTCAATATCAAAGTTTAGTAAAGTTCAATTCTCTCTTTATTTTTTTTGCATTCTCGAATTTCTCTTCGGTTCTTAGTAAAAAAAAAAGAAAAAAGTTCTTTTGCATTTTCGAATTTCTCTTCAATTGTTAGTAAAAAAGAAAAATCAAAAAAAATTGTATTGCATTTATTTCCTTTTCATTTTTCTATTTAAAAGTACTTCTTTTAATTTACTTATTCATCAAATATTTCAAAAAAATAAAAAATAAAAAATAAAAAAACATAAAAATTCAAAATTTCCGGGCCGACCCGGAACCGGCGGGCCGACCCGGCCCGCTGAACCGTCCATACTACGGGCCGGTTCTGGTTCCGGAAAATGTGAACCGTGAACCGGTTTGAATCGGCCCGGAACCGGCCCGTGGCCGTGTCTACCCATCCCCTTCTCTTCCTTCCTTCTTTTCTTCTCTTCCTCCTTGTTTATTCTTAATTCTTCCCATTTCCACCCAAAAATATGTTAGAGTAGGTGACCAACAAGCCAACTTGTGGTTGTGGTCTTTTCATATTTACTTGTGAACAATCTATTTTCGTTATTAATGAAATTATATTTTTGGCAGGCTATATGTATTGTCTCATTTATTATGCATAGATATAAACCTTATAGTTATTATTAAATAACTATGAATTGATCTAGGAGAATCATGAGATAATTCATTTAGTAAGATAACTATTAAACAAGTTCATAGTCGATGAGTTACGCCAATAATTAGGATAGTGGCCTTCCGTTTGAGACTAACTACACTTAGTGTATGTGAATCGAGTCTCGTCAACTACAATGTAGGGATATTGGCATACATAAGTGGGTGTTCATAGTTGATGAGTTCATTGAACTCCCTCGTCCTAGAATCTCTAAGTGGTTCCCATTAATCGAGTAGAGATTCTATGATTATAGTTGTACACCATTAGTTCTTAGACCTAATACATCACTGCGACTTCATTAAAGGACCAGTTGTATTGTGACCTGTCCCTGAGTCTCCTCAAAGACCGCTCCAAGGCCAACATTCGCACAGTCCGAAATCTAGTGGGAGTTTGTGCATTGTAGTTAGGGATTTGACCGCTAATTGCATGGATGTCCTATGTGTTCTTCAAGTATATTGTCCAAGGAATCTTCGGCCGTAGTAGAAAGTGTAGTGATTAGAGAAATGAGTTTCTCTAAGTCAAACACGAATGGACTTTATAGCTTTAGAACGATCGCATATTTATCGAATAATATTAGAGGTCTCGGTGAACCAATGCCTCTAGTTCGATCGGGACATATGTTTAGTCAAAGGGACCGTACTGTACGCTAACTATAATTTAAGGTTTTTGCAGGCACTTCATTTGTATTTAGGGAATCATGACACGTAGTTGGTAGACGTCAATTATGATTCGTTGGGCATTAACCGATATGATCGGCGATGTAGATTAAATATGTTTTAATCTAAATCGAGACATTTTGGACGAGTCCGTAATTGAATAAAGAGTTATTCAAGTCACAAATAGTTGTGGGCCCACGGCTAGCTTACACCTGAACCATTGAGGGTCACACTTCTTGTGGAGATGAATCCTTAATAAGGTGAACTAAGATTAATTTGTTAATCTTAGATAAATTGGAATTCAATATGATTGAATTAAAATTCGTAATAGTCGATTATGAATTGGAAGAAAAAGAGAAAGGTAATTTTATAGATTTCAAGTGAACTTTCTAAATTGGGATTTTCCTAATTTAGCAGGTACCACTGAAATAGAGGTTTCCGAAAATGGAAATATAAGATATGCAATATGGTACTTGAATTGACGAGAAAATTATGACCGTCACGAAAATACAATTGTTATAATCTTCGGAGTAACCATTTGAGAGATATTATGAATCTAAGAAAAAGTGAACGCATGTTTTATTTGAGTTTATTTGAACACATGATCAAAAGCATGCTAATAGATTATGCCTAATTGATGAATTTATTATTCATAAAATTCGCATGATAGATAAATTTTAAACTTCCGCTGCGTATGCATGTAGATCCATAACAACATATACTTTATTTTCTCCACTTATTTCTTCATTTTTTTCTTCATTTTCACTTTCACCTTCTTCGTTTTCTTTTATTTGGTGGATAGCTACGGCAGCTGCCACCTGGATTGGGTCACATACTATCTAGATCCGTTCACCAGCAACCTTTTCCGACAAGATTCAGTAACCCACGACGTAGATTCAACGATGACATTTTCTTTGAGCTAAAAATCGGTTTTCGGGTTAC